TTCATATTGAAGGCGTCTGACACAAATGCGTGCCAATGCTTCAAATGTTATGTTCGTTGTCTATGTTTGTGTCAGTGTTTCAACGTTATCTATATCTAATTATGTCTCTCTGCATCATTTAAAAAACAGAATTTAGAGATGTTTGATAATAAAGTTCAATTGAAATTGCATTGCAGATGAGTGCATTGAAAAACTTGGGACTGAATGTTGTTAAGGCAAATGTGTATCTTGATTCCTCTGGCAAGCACAACAAGTTTTCAATCACAAAAGCGTAAGCAATATTCTCTTGTGTAACTACTATTGCTGATTTTAGACATTTTTATAGGATTGCAAAGTAACAAAAATTAGTCACTGTTTTTGTATCAGAAGTTATCGCATCCAAATAGAATCAGGAATAACGACACATTTATGTTAACTTATAGATCAAGTTTAAAATGAGATTGTGACTCTAGTAATTGATTGCAGTGATACAGGTAGGAAAGTGGAAGATCCAGAGTTGTTAGAAGCAATCCGTTTAACAATTTTAAATAACATGATTACGTATCACCCGGTACAAATTCTTCTCAAGCATTCTAAATTACTTGGACCTTGTGCTCTTAATTTACATGTTTTGAAACTGGTTTTAAAGGAATCAAGTGCCCAATTAGCTCTAGGAGCGGCTTTTGGACTTGTACCTCCAAAGGAACAGGTGATGATGAATTCAATACTTGTCATTCTGATTTCTGACCTTACTGTTGGAATCTGGTTTGTAATTTTATGAATGAAAAAATTTCAGATTGATGTGGACATAGCAACTCACTTAATAATCACTGATGACGGTCCAGAGAGAAGGTGAGAAGTCGCAGTTGCTTCGTCCTTAAGTAACATGTAGTAGCTATTAAATGTGGTTTTGGTGTTATTGCTGCAGTTTGTTCTATGTGGAGACAGCCGATCGGCCTGGATTATTGGTTGATCTTGTAAAGGGTATTACTGACATTAACATTGCTGTTGAATCCGGAGAATTCGACACTGAGGTAAAATATTTCATTCATAAATCATATCCGAAATGTAACAAGTACTCAATTACATTGAAAAATTTGTTGTGAAATATAGGGTCTGTTGGCTAAGGCAAAGTTTCATGTCAGCTATAAGGGTAAAGCCATTATCAAGCCTCTTCAACAGGTAATTTGGGGATGATGCATGCTACATATGTTTTTGAATTGAAATATCTATATGGTATAAGACTTAATTTACATGTTTTTGTATGAAAATGGGACTTAATTTTATTCATTTCTGGCAGGTTCTTGTTAACAGCTTGAGATACTTCTTGACACGGCCTTCAACTGAGGAATCCAGTTTTTGAGTGGCACATTGTCACACGCAATTGCAACACATTTTATTGCTATGTTGCATACTATTTGTTGCATTTCAATATTTCATACAAATAATGAAAATACAATAAATAAAATATAGAAAATGGTAGTTTTATTAACTTTTTTTTTCAAGGAATTCTTGCACCTAAGGAATTTCCACCAAGGCTTGGGAGTCAGGAACTCCATCCTCAACATGCTTAGCATCCATAAATTCACTGCTTGAATTTCTCTAAGAATATGTTCGGGAGTTTAGAAGGGACGAGAAAAGAGGACTTCTCAAAAAAAAATTTAAATATAAAGAAAATTTTAATATTTTTTGAAATAAATATTTTGTTTAGAATGATAAAATAATGTTTATCATTAATGTATTTTTAGTTTTTGAAATACTATAACAACAAAAAATATATTTGAACAAATTGATTAAGCCCCCCAAAACCTTACTCCAATACAAATTTTGAGTTCTCCAAAATTAGAGGGTTTTTGGTGTTATGAAGAAAAACAAACCCTCTAAAACCCTCCTAAGCAAAATCTTTCTACTATTTTCACCAAATCCTTTTTATTTTTCAAAGTCCTCTTATCTCTTCCCCTCCAAACTCCCAAACATAGCCTTAGAGTCTAAAACTTCAATGTTTGGATTCTCCTGAATAACAATTAAGTTGGTGTGATTTTTCAAAGGCTTAACCACCTTACTTGTTTCCCCTACCTATTTACCACCAATACCATAATGTTGCTTCTTCTTCGACAAGGTATCAATGTCATTATCCACTCCATTTATCTTTCCTTCCACTGGAACATAGAGTTCTTTAATTACTTTTGTGAACTTTGGCCCACCCTTTTCAGTGTCGTTTTTATTTGAGTCTCCTTTCATCGACAGTTAGCATAAGAGTGTCCAATACAAATACAACAAAAATTATAGGACCTTCTCATATTCAATCTCAACAAAGAAGGCAAATTCGATCCTCTCATCCAGAATTTTATAACTTAACTCTTTCACCAAGTCCAAATAAACATGAACTCTTACATAATGACCAAAAACTCTATCGAATGGGGATTTATTAGAAGCAAAATCACTGTATATTGACGTCCCAATACTTCTAACTATTGTGAAGATGATTTTAGGTTACTAATATTCCTGTGGCAACCCATGGATCCTGATCCATGCATGAGCTAAGGCCTGTTTAAGGGTCGATGAAACATAGTCTCTTATTCATGGGAACAACTTTAAGATACCTGGATGGAGGCTTCAAGCGTATGGATCAAATGAGTGTTGAAAATGTAATTCCTTGTGCTGAAGCAGGTTATTGTTCGACACAAGGTGTGTCGAAATAGGCTTAGTTTATCGAAGTATGTCAAGTTGTGTTAGGTGTGTTGAAGCAGTTGCTACTCACATATTTGATTTAGATTTGATTTAATTTCAAAATAGGTATTTGGGGCTTTTATAGTTTTGAATTTTTGGCTTAGGGAGAAAGAAAGTTCAATTATAAATAGAGGGAGTAACCCCTATTTTTTGTAATCAATCAATTCATTCATTCATAGTATTTGCAGTTGCAAGTGAATAAGAATGTTTTCCACAATTTATGGGCAGAGAGTTACTCAGCAGAAACCCTAAATCTCTTTTCTTCTTTAATTTTTCTTTTCTTTTCATTGTCATTGTATGGTGATAACAATCTTATTCATCAAGATTGATATAAATTCATAATAAGTTTTGATGGATTTCCAACATCTGGTATCAAGAGCTCCGGTTGAGCGATCAAGGGAAGAAGAAGAAGATTATCACAATGGCTATGAATCATCCAAACGGGCATTTCCAGTAAGTCTTCCAATTCTTAAAGTTGATAACTACAAGAATTGGTGCAAGTAGATGAAGGTTGTGTTTTGTTGTCAAGATCTTTGGGATCTTGTGAAATATGAATTAGAACCGCTTGAAGAAGATGCTTCAGAAGAAGAAGAAGAGGCGAAATACAAAGAATCAAAGAAGAAGAATTATAAAGCTCTCTTTATAATTCATCAATGTATAAGTCCAGATAATTTCGAAAAGGTTAGTGATGTAGAATCTGCAAAAGAAGCCTAGAAGATTCCTAAGAAATCTTTTGGAGGTGCAGGAAAGGTGAAAGAGGTGAAGTTACAAACTCACAAAAGAACGTATGAATTGCTTCAAATGGAAGATAGCAAGAGCATATCTAAATTCTTCACTAGGGTTATGAAACTAGTGAATCAAATCAAGGTTTTTAGAGAGACAATAACAACAAGAGCAGTTGTTTTAAAGATCTTGAGATCTTTGACTCCGAAGTTCGACCATGTGGTAGTTGTCATAGAAGAGTCGAATGACATGTTAACTTTGTCGAAAGAAGAGCTTCAAGGGGCGCTTGAATCTCATAAAAAGAGAATGGATGAAAGAGATGCAGGAAAGTCGAAGAGTGATGTGGCTTTGCAGACCCAATCAATAAAAGATAAGAAAGACAAAGGAAAGTTGTTCGACAACAAAGGTAGATGAGGCTACAACAATTTGACTGGTAGAGAAAACCAGCACGTTGAAAATGTGTTGAATTAGAGAAGATCATACCAAGGCAACCAAAGAGGTGGTGTTGCAAATAGAGGAAGAGGTGGTGGTCGAAAACCTGACAAGAGTCACATTCAGTGTTTCAATTGTCAAAAGTATGGTCACTATTCTAATGATTACTCAGAAAAGCAAAAGAATCAAGAAGTGATGCAAAGTTTGCAAAACATAAAGAAGAAGAGATGATGTTAATGGATGCTACAAAAGATGAAGAGAAATTCAAGGACCAATGGTACTTGGATTCAGGATGCTCACCATACATGTCTGAAAGGAAAGATTAGTTTGTCAATATAAAACCCTCGATGATGAACATGGTGAAATTCGCAAATGATAGTACCCTAGAAGCTGAAGGTATTGATGATGTTATGATTATGAGTAAAGATGGCAAGAGGTCAGTAATTTTCAATGTGTTGCACATACCAGACATGAAGAGCACTTTGTTCAGTATAGGATTGTTGGTCGAAAAGAACTTCAAAGTGTCAATAATTGAATCCAACAATAACATAATTGGCAACCACCTCAAATTGGTTGGGTGAAATGCAACGTGTATGTAAGGTTTGATGAACACCTAGGCACGACTAATAGAGTTTGGTGTGTTAGAGATTGCTTTGGGGTTTCATTGTGGCGGGTACTTCGTGGGATTATGGACTATATTTTATTGTTGAAGTGGAGGCGTTGATTTTGAAGGAAACGGTCCAAGAAGTCACTCAATTGAATTTAAGTTATATTACCTTTGAGAGTGACTCTCAATTAGTGGTCCAAGCTATTACCATTAACTCCTCTGGTAAATTGAATTTAATATGATCATTTCTAACATTGAAAGTTTTTTAACTTTTACACAATGACTCTGAGGCCGAATTTATTAAACATCAAACGAATTGAATAGTTCATGATTTAATTAAGGCGGTCAATTCTAAATCATAGTGAATTACATATTTTTTTACTTGAAAACCATACAAAAGGATGTTATAAAAAAAATGAAAAATCATGCTAAAATGCAGTGTCCAACGTAAATATCCAAATGAGCCTCCCCATTCTATTTTAAATGTAGTTAACAAGGATTTGAAGGAAAATAACAATAACAAGAGAATATGGATGATTCCAACCAAGATTCATACGATTTGTTTCCAGAACTCTCTCTTATATCCATATCCCAGCAACACCTTTTGCAAAGCACCCCTTTCGTCGGAGACACTTTACCCAACAATACGCCGTCGGAAATTGACGCCGGTATCATCCCAGTCTCCTCTCCTCCCGATACCAACCAAGACGTTTTTCACACTCCGCCCGAGGATAACATTGATGTTCCTCACTGTGCTGTTAATCAGACCATTGATGTCGACCATGAGTCTCAGGTGTTCGTTGATTTGGCTGGAGTTTCCGAATTAGGGTTTCCGGAGAACTCGCAACGTGTTGATGGAGGTGGACTGGTTGATGAATTTAGGGTTCTAGAAAGGGGTATTTCTGAATTAGGTCAAGTTCCTGAGATAAAATTGAAATTAGGTTTTCATTCTTTGGGAAATTTCAATGCTGTGGGATGTGAACAAGTGAATGTAGATGCTGCAAAAAATGATGATTTAAACAGAGAGATTCTGGTGGCTGAAAACTCAGTATCAGAAAATGTTGAGATGCAAAATGCTGAGGTTGTAGAAGGTTCTGGATTGCTGCCAATGCCGGAGAGTGAATTGGAATCTGGGAAGGATAAAGGGAAGCAAAAGATTTCTGTTTTTGATGTATTGAAAGTTCTCTCTGATAGCAATAAAGATGAAGATGAAGATCACGATAGTGATGGTCTTACTGTGTTGGAAGCTGCAAAACTTGCTGGTATTACGTTTCCTAGACCGAGTTGGTGGCCAGATCATTATGCGTGTAAATTATTCAACTTCGATGATGATGATCAGGTTAGACCATAGAGGATGATGATGATCATGTTTTCGTCCATGTAAGTTAGGAGGATTTTGATTTTAGTCTATGAATATTTTGTAAGTGGTTTCGAACCCCAGACCTTTGTTCATAACTTTAATACCTCTCCATTAAGTCACTTGTCTTCTTTGTTTAATTATTATAATGCATATGTATAAACTTCAACTATTTAAAAGGAGGGATGATATCAAACATTTGAATGATTTTGCAACTTCTTCTTTCTCACTTCAATTTCATTGCCTTCTTCTTCCTCTCTTTAATATCATTGATTTAGATTCTACATTTGAATGATTTTGCAACTTCTTCTTCCTCACTTCAATTCCATTGCATTCTTCTTTCTGTCTTCAATATATTGATTTAAATTCAACATTTGAATGATTTTGCAACTTCTTCTTCCTCACTTCAATATCATTGCCTTATTCTTCCTTTCTTCAATACCATTGCACCATTGATTTAATTTTTTTTTATTGTGAAACCAAGTGAATAAAATGCAGTAAGAGAAACTCATAATTATTAACCAGCACTAAATAAATGTAGTAGCAGAAACCAAAAAAATAAGGACAAGACTAAAATTAATAACACGTCAACTTACAAGGGCGTTAAAATTATATAAGTTCATAATTTTTTCATCTCAAATCTTCATAGAAGCAAACCTAGGATTAAGATGCAGAGAAAGAAGAAGCATTGCAAATAGAGGACACTTCAACACTTGTTCATGGTAAAAAAAATTCTCTTGTTAGCTTCTATAACAACAAACCCAATGAATTAATAAATCCAACCTTAACAACAAATACAAAAATTTCTTCTTGTTGTTTATAACAACAAATCCAATAATTAAATAGATCCAACTTTAACAACAAAACTATACTGCGCCATCTAAAACAAAGTCTATCCCAACCACCCGTACTGTCTCGACCAGTCGACGGGGAGCCTTTATTCCTATACTTGGCCGTCTCAAACGAGGCCATCAGCGCGACTCTCATTCGCGAGACCACCGACGGGCAGAAGCCCGTTTGTCTCACGAGCAAAGCCCTACAAGGACCTGAGAGCAGATACCAACAGATAGAAAAAGTAGCCCTAGCCCTCGTCAACGCGACGAGGAGACTCAGACACTATTTCTTGGCCCATACAGTCATAGTGCGAACCGACCAACCAGTAAAACAACTATTAGGTCGACCTGATATGGCGGGCCGAATGTTGAAATGGTCCTTGGAACTCTTCGAGTTCGACATTCAATACGAAAGCAGGAAAGCTCTAAAGGCACAAGCCCTGGCCGACTTCGTCGCGAAAATGACTGTTCACGACCCGCCCGCAGGGAAGGAGCACAAATGGACCATCTTCGTCGATGGAGCTTCCAGTTCGTCCAGAAGCGGCGTGGGGATCCTCCTAGAAAACGAGGAGGGCGTAGTGATCGAGCACTCGTTAACCCTCTCCTTCCCGACTTCGAACAACCAAGCAGAGTACGAGGCCCTGCTCGCAGGATTAAGGCTAGCCGAGGACCTAGGAGCCCGCGAGATACAAATCTTCACGGACTCTCAACTCGTGGCTTCCCAAGTCCAAGGGAATTACCAAGCTAAAAACGACAGCCTCGTCGAATACTTAAACTTAGTCAAAGAACACATGAAAAGGTTCGACCGAGCAGAAATATCACATGTTCCGCGCGAGCAAAACACAAGGGCAGACATATTGTCCAAGCTCGCAAGCACGAGAAAGAAGGGTGGAAACAAATCCGTCATACAAGAATCCCTGTCACGCCCGAGCATCGAGAGGTCCAGTCGAGGTGCACGCCATCGGAGACACCTCGTGCTGGATGACCCCGGTGTACAATTTTCTGAAAAAGGGCGAACTCCCTTCGGATCAGACAGAAGCGACCATCACGAAACGACGGGCATGCTCCTACGTGGTGCTCGAGCATAAACTATACCGCAGGGGATTCTCGATTCCCCTCCTGAAATGCATCGACGAATCCACAGTCCCCGAGGTATTACGGGAGATACACGAAGGGATTAACGCCCAACACATGGGCGGTAAGTCCCTGGCAAGGAAAGCCCTGCGAGCGGGGTACTATTGGCCGACGATGCAGCAGGGCGCCAAGGAACACGTCAAGAAGTGTGACAAGTGCCAAAGGCACGGCGACATGCACCTCGCTCCCCCTCACGAGCTGAGCATACTGTCATCCCCGTGGCCGTTTGCGTGGTGGGGGATGGACATCCTCAGACCTTTCGTGCAAGGTACTTATCAAAACAAATTCCTCATTGTGGCTGTGGATTACTTCACGAAATGGATAGAGGCCGAAGCTCTCGCAAAGATCACCTCGCACAACATCCTCCGCTTCTACAAAAGAAACATCCTCGCCAGATTCGGGATCCCGAGAGCACTAGTCACCGACAACGGCACCCAATTCACCGATCACAGATTCCAAAACTTCGTCACCAAACTGGGAACCAAACAACACTTCACCTCGGTCGAGCACCCTCAAACCGACGGGTAAGCCGAGGCCGCTAACAGAGTCATCCTCCGAGGACTCAAACGCCGGCTCGACGAAGCTAAAAGAGGCTGGGTCGAGGAGCTGCACAACGTCTTGTGGGCGTATCGCACCATGCCCCATTCAACGACGGGCGAGACCCCCTTTCGACTAACATACGGAACCGAAGCCGTCATCCCAGTAGAAATCAGGGAACCCTCCAGGCGGACAGAAACTCCCCTCGACGAAGAAATGAACGACGAAGCACTCAGGGACGAACTCGACTTAGTCGAGGAAATTTGTTCGGGGGAAGCTCTACGCGATGCCACTCTAAAATAATGAGTGGCCCTGTGTCACAACGACAAGGTCATCAAACACGAGTTCAAGATCGGCAGCCTGGTACTACGAAGAAACCAGAAAGACTCCCGCGAAGGGAAATTGGCCGCGAACTGGGAAGGGCCTTACCACGTCCACGGCGCCACAGGTACCAGGGCATACTACCTCGAGCAGCTAGACGGAGAACCATTGCCACGACCCTGGAACGTTGCTAAACTAAAGCAGTACTATAGTTAAAAAACCCTTAAACACTAAGGACTCTCGTCGTCGAACATCCACATCTAGTCAACGGAGAGAAATGTCTCGACCACGTAGATAGCCCAAGGTACGGGCCCAATCTACACCCAAACGACATAACGCCGTTCAGCCAAACGAGGACGAACAACGGTGCCCGACAGGGACACCTCAATCGAGCCCCACTGTCAAAGTACCCACATGGCAGAACACCCAGCTCGCGATGGGTAGTTTACGCCACGGGCAAACGACCCCGATCTGGGTCATACGCCCGAGCAAGCGGGCTTTACTCCGCACGATCGGCGCATTTCGAAGTGCATCGGACCACCAAATGGGTCGAAAGAATCTCCACTCGAGGATATAACTTAGGCAAATTTTGTCACAGAGTAACAGTCGAGCACAAGCGCGGCCCGAGGACATAACTTAGGAAAATTTCGCCACAAAATAATAGCCGAGCACAAGCGCGGCCCGATGACATAACTTAGGAAAATTTCGCCACAAAGTAACGGCCGAGCACAAGACTCGAGGACATAACTTAGGCAAATTTCATCACAATATAAAAACTTAGACACGAGCAAGTTTAAAGGTCGAAATGAGCATCCATTTAAAAACTCATAAGCAAAAAACGAATAAAAATAAACCGACCGAAAAGGCCGGCGATATTCAGAAATTACAGGCTATGGCACAACGGCCAAGAGAAATGTGTACGGGCACGCAGGCCCCAAAAATATGCACGGGCACGCAGGTCCCAAAACAAATACCAATAAACAGGCGCGCAGGCCCAACCAGAAATTCCATGGCTAGACTTCCCCGGGACTATCGGCATCCACGGCAGGAGACTCAGGAGGAGGCACGACCTGGCCATCAATGATCTGAGACATGAAACCCACTCCCTCGGTATTCATGCCCGAATTTAATAAGGCGAGCTGGCTAACCGCGACCTTAAAACCGTCCGCTAAGGCACCAACACAGTCTGTTTCGAGGAGATGGATGCGCGTGACCAGATCCGAACGGCTCCGCAAGGGGGTTGTGTTCTCCGACTCGTCTTCAGCAGGAAGCATGGCAACTTTCAGCTCCTCGACTTCCTTAGACAGACGCTCGTTGTCGGCCTCCAAGCGTTCCCGGTCCAGTCGAAAACAGTCCCTCTCCTCAGCAACCTTCCCCGAGTTTTCCTTCTCCACGGCCAGCAACTCGGCTTGTTCGCAGAACATCTCCTCAGATCGCTTCAGAGCAGCCTTCAACTTACGAGAGTCGGCAACGAGGGCAGCTTTCTCCAACTTCAGTTCCCTGACGCGGTCAGAGGAGTTCGACCCCTCCTCAGCAAGGACAACGACCATCTTGGCCATCTTAACCATCCCGACCATACTGGCGGCCAAGTGTTTTCTCCGACTTTCTTTGTTGAGCCGCCTGATGGTCTCAGCCTCCTCGGGGCTCACTGTCAAGGGGAACCCCTCGAAGAAACCTTCCTCTTTAAAACAGGGGGGCAAGCCAAAGGCCCTCACTGCGACAGACTCGTCGCCAACTTCCGACTGGTTATCTGCCCGACTTCTCTTTCTCGTTATCAGCTCAGTGGGCTGCTCGACGTCAGGGGAGCCCGCAGACCCGCTAGAAGCATCATCTGAACTCGTCGGCGGGCCCATCCTCGTGGTCTGTGGAGCTCGCACCAACCTTCTGTTTACTCTCTTGTCTTGAGACAGTTTTAAAAGTCTCTCCATTGGCCATATTGCCTGCAAAGAAGAAAACTCGGGTTAGTTACGAGCAAGTAACAAACAAAGAAACTGGAACAAAACTATAAGACAAAAAGCAACCTAGTAGATCTACGACCTGCCCGTAGGATTGGCACTCGACAAGCGCCTTGGTATCGATAGGACGGGCCTCGAATGTCGGGTAACCTTCCTCGTCAAGAATGTCTTCCCCCTCCCTCGTGACCCACCGGGCAGGGAAGAAGCTGTCGAC